AGAACGGGTGACACGTTTGGACATGTTTGGGCGTGTGTGCGGGGCAGGTTAGCCAGCGAAATTGCCAGCGTGTGGCGTGTATGTGCGGTTTTGCGTCTACACTCGGACTAGCGTGCGCGCTAGCCGCTTAGCAGAAGTTGAGAACGCAGTCAACTCGGAAGGCCAGTGATTATCGATCCGCAGCGAAGAGGGTTTCAATGGTGAAACTTGCGCGGACAGGTTTCTCGATAGCGCCCGTAAATCTTCACCGATCTTTGCAGAAGTGGTTGCAGAGGATAGAACTCGTCGCGGGTTGCCGTTTCGTGTAGGCGACGTGGAGTATCTTCGAAGATTGCGGGTAGTTGTGCGCGTGTATGTGGAATCCGTGACGTGAGCCAGATCCCAATATCCGTAGCTCCTCAACGGTGACTGACAGGATTTCAGAAGTTATACAGATCAATTTAGCTTGCGGAGAGCAAACGATCGATATGTAGATCGACGGTGTAGGATAGAACAGATCCAAGAAAACTGTTCCAAAGGCGGAGCGCCAGAAAATGCAGTAGATTGAAAACAAAAGACTGAAGAGAACATACTGAACCACTCAGTTTTGGTAGACTCTCATAAGTCACACCCAGTTAGATGTGGTTATCGTGCCAACTAAATTTCTTAAAAACCCTCAATCACTTAGACTAATTCTGAATTCGTAATGCACTACTCATAAGGGTGCTGCAAATTCGTCGACAGCCCACGACCGGTTTCGCCCTTGTGGAGGCTCATCAGGTAGTGCAGTCTCTCGCAAAACCAAATTTGTTTGCAAATAAGGGCAGTTCTCTGATTTCGTGCAATTTGGTTTCAAGTAGAAAATAAGGGGCTGTGCCTACCTGATGAGCCCCAAGAAGGACGAAACCGGTCGTGGGCTGTCGGCGAATTTTCAGCAACCTTATGAGTAGTGCAGTACGAATATCGTAGCGACTGAAACATGTGGCGGCCTGGTGCAGCACACTCCATTGCCTGAAAACACCACAAACGAGAGATTCAGCTGAATTCCAGGTGAGTCTCCCGCAAAACCAAATCAGTTTGCAAATGGATGTATTTCGCCAGCACTGAATTCATAATTGTTGGTTAGTTACGGATTTCACCAGTGAAAGAACAAACTCAAGTTCATGTTTAAGAGTCAAACGTTGTAGTACGCCGTTTACCAGACGGACAGACTTACACCGAACTCTTTTATATGAATAGATTGATGTGAATGTTTGTACTGAGCTCATATTTTGTAACCAGTAAAAATATGCAACTGTTAGAACAAACGCGCTTCCTTCACTTTATTATTAGTAGTAGTATATGCTGTGGGACAGGTGTTATCTGGTTGTGCAAATCCAAAGAAACCCCGCTCGGTAAATTTGTGGTCAACTCCATTTGGTTGAAGTTTCGGTCTCTTTCATCAGAGTGTGACCTTTTTTCAAAGCGCATCCGCATAACTTCTGCATAGAATATGATAACCAGAGGCCACTGCGGAAATTAAGGCCTTCTTGCTGGTTTCTGTGGCGTGGTGATTGAAATGGAATAATTCCCGATGAAGCACACCTTCCTGCTTACTTGACTGCCTATGCCCATAGCCACCGCCCATTTGGACGCCAGTGCTCGCTACCACAACACTTGCTACCACTCACAAACTCACCCTAGAGGATATTTCCCATCTGAGTGTTTCATACCTCAAGCAATTAATGTCTAAAAGTAAATCATTTCACGCCTCTTGAATAGCTGCTCCACCAGGGCGGGATGCACATTCCCGAATAAACGAGAGATTCAGCTGGGTTCCAGGTGAGTCTTTCGAAAGAACCAAATTGGTTTGCAAATGAGTGTATATTCGCTAATTTCGTGTAATTTGGTTCCAAGCAGAACATAAGGTTGACAGAAACTTGGAGACTACGATTGCCTGTTCAGCCCCAAGAAGGGCTGTCAAAAAAGTGTTCGGTAACCTTGTAAGTAGTTTCCTTCATAAAATTAATGATCGTATTTGCTTGTTGAACAGACAAACGGTCAAATAATCGATGATTGAATAATGCATTGTAGTTACGAGTGTGACGGTTTATGCTACTGATGAAACGTGTGAGTAGTGTCTGGTCAGGTGGTAAAACGCCGTCTCCGCATCCTATGAAAAATTCGCAAGGAAATTACTAGACCGCTTTGCAGTGATTAGTATTCAAAGAAAGTTCAGGAAAGTTCAAATAATCTTTGAGAATAGGATTTTTAATTTTGTGTCTAATGGCTCGTAACCGCTTAGTTCGTGCTGATCAATAAACGACCCTGAAATGAATAGCGCTGTTCTTTCCTGCATTATTCCGACAGTAGGTCTGATCTGATGTTCGCTTCGGGGCAAAAAGTACAACGTAGGCAACGCTCTGCAAGTGCTGCATGCCAAGATCAAACGGATTTTCCTAAACTGATAACTGGGAGGGAAGGCACTCTATGGAGCGATAGGAATAAGTACTGATTACTCATTTACCCGACATGATTATTCGAAGACCTTTGACACGCATTTCGCATCCCAATTTTCGAGTATGGACACTCTCTCGATGAGTCTTTATTTCTCTCCCCAGCTGTAGCACCCTTTCGGTGTCTATTTGCCACCAGAAGGATGTACGAGGGCTGCGATACTGTCAGGTTGCCCAATCTCAGACAGGGGAAGGCAAGAGGCAGAGATCGGGTTCGAACCACGGACCTTCTGGTTAGTAAATTCATGCTGTAACCACTGAGCCTTGTTACCGGTTCTCAGGGTGTAGCCGCAAACAGTGCGGGGCTGCTCAGTGAACTGCTCAACAGAACTACGCCAACAGGACGTAGCCCGAGGCATACGAAGTGCAAATTTTTGTATGTTTCCAAGAACCTAGTCCAAAAATACACATTGGCTGGCTTGGTGAGATCGAAATAAGCTTCCAGTCGACACTTAAGACAAAAAATCGCTGGAATTCCATGTCTAGAAGGAAGAATTCGTACGCGGTGTTGTTTCTGCAAAATAGCTAGTTAAGGACGGTACCCCGACTATTGATATGTGGCATAAGAACGCCACACAGAGCTATAGATTTCATACCCTGCTGGAGTCGGAGCCGTTGACCAGTACGCCATTGCAAACTCATATGTATGTTTCTCATCCGTACCAATCTCGGCATCTTCTAACAAGTATGACACCAGCAGAATACGTCTAGAAATAATGTCTAGAAATGATTCATCGGTATGACAAACGTTCCTTTTTAAGGAGTATGACTCATGGTTGGTAAACAGCATATAGGACTTAATAAACACACGCAAAAACTTACTCAAATAAAGAATAGTTGAAAGCAAACGGCAGTGCGCAGCTATTTATACAAGCTCAGGGACACTGGTATAATCATCCTCAGACGCTGTTTCCTGCTCTGACTAAACCAAACAGAAACTACCAATAAGAATCGAGTTTCTATCAGCGCCTCATTCATTTGTACGTGTACACACGGCGAAGGTGTGTTTTGTGCGGCTGACACTGATGTGCTGTTGTTTGTTGCAATCGAAAAGCGATGAATCATGACTGGTGTGGTGATTTTTCTGAAATAGCATGAAGTCTACGTTGCATGTAGTTGGATAATGGGATCAATTATGAGGCCATAAGATCACGGGGTATTTCAACGCTCATCAACATTGCAGCTGAGACGCTGTTTTCAAGACTATTAGCCACTTGGTCATTAGGTCATTGGCATTTGATTATTGGTAAACGTGTTTCGGTTGGTTTGGTACATGCACAGCGTAGAAAAAGTCAAACATGCGTTTCTGTCAGCCCAGACCGAGACTGGTCTTGTGTCTAGGGTGCTGAGTGACAGCTACACCAGCTGACAAGACAGAGGACCGTCTGCCCGTTGTGTTCATGAAGCCCCAACACCTGTCTTGCTGACTGGTTCGGTACATCTAAGGGCAAACAGCAATTCAATAGTTCCTTGAGCAGAAAAAGTCTTTTAGACCTCAGTGGTGAAAGGAAGAAGGCCTTCGGTCCGTAGTTATTCATTAGAAAACGCCAACTGACCAGGTACAGACTTTTCAACAGGGAAGCAAAACACTCATGTGCATCTTATTTACAGAAACTGAACATCCATCTTCTATTGAACGCGTCTTCCTGAACTTTCCTGGATATTCATTGACTGTTGCTCAAATCCAAGCCGAAGCCGCAAAGTGACTCCATAAATTCTGCAATAGATATTTCTTTTCAAGAGACGCAAAGCGAATTTACAAGAAGAAACCATACTACTCGCATGCCTTCCCCATCCATTAGTATCACCGTTACAGTGGTAGGGTAATTCAGGCGGCTGAGTTCACTGACTCTATTTATGGAGATTTTGTCCTGTCAAATTGGGCAGTCTAATTTGAAAAACCGAGGAGCATCGTGAAACTGTTTCATGCCTATTGGAAATCCGAAGCAACGTGTGAAACACCAGGGAGTCCCGAATCCGCGACAACCCTGTTGGAATTTTAACCTAGTAACCATTCGGGTACAAGCGGCTGTTTAGCAGTACGATTAGCCAACACTTGAACAGGGTATAGTTCCACTCAGTCTTCATTCACGGAATCCATACCACAAATTTGCACGTGTTGACAAGTTCACCAAGTGTTCTGTTCAGATTTATTCATAATGTGCAATGTCTGCACAGATGATTTATCAGGATTTCTCCAGTAATTGAAAACACAGTACACTTATGCGTTCTAAAATAGAGCAGAAGCAGTATTTATGGCTTGGATGCCTTGACACATTGAAAGTGTAGGTTGATATGGACATTTTAGTAGCACATGTAAGTATCATCCCATATCGTTTCCACTGAAGCGATTTTACCAATGATAGAACATTATGTATGATTGAGCAAGTCGTTAACCTCGACCAACTTCACCACAGATTGTGTGGATTCTCTTGTTTTCTTGAGGAGGCACACCCTTGTGATCATCGACACTGCTCCGTCTCACGATGTGTTCTGGTTCTGCATCACGTCTTGTCGGTGAACACCAGAAAGGTTGCCCACAACATGCGGTAAATTGCATTCTGAGCGGATTTCAGGACTTGATGACCGATTTCCAACCGAGCTTTTGAGACACGGCACCATCTGGAAGCATTCGGGCTTTCGGTATAAAGTGCACAATAGGAAGAGTAAATTTTGAAGAGAAAACTAGAGGAGCCGGAACAATCAATGTAGCTGGGGGTAATATAACGAGTGTATAACACTACCGCAATTCTCTAATAAAGAAGTTTCAAGCTCAGAAGGTGAACTCCTTGAATGCAGAAGGCTGCAAGGGATAAACCGTTAACTTAGCACCTCGAGGTTAACCGCTATAGGGCTTGGTGTGGAAAACAATGAAATAGCATACTGAATGAAACTGACGTTCATGGTGAAGAGAACTAAATAACCATGGGGACGTGTGGAACCCTTGGAGCGTGGAAAGGCCAGACTGTCCCCTAAAATCATCCAAACCAAGACATCGATCGGGTGCAGAACTGTTCATCACATGTAATTAGGCACTCTCCTGACCGGTACGCAAAAATGGACCCGTCTAGCTGGATAGCCTATAGAGGGTCAGGAAATTTCAGATACACATCTGCGAACGCCACAGAGTGAAACTTACACCATTTAATACCAGAGCTCATCTGAGAACTGACAGGTTGATCGCAGTGAAACGGGCCAAGGTCACAGGTCACACGGGTGTCATCCTATCAGAAAGTCGACTGAAGGGCTAACCAGTACAGTCGCTTAGCAGCCACCTATAACCGGTGAAAAGTGTGTAACCAGCTAGCACGTTGTCGTGAACAAAACAGGCCAGCGAAATCGTGGTAGTCGGCGCCAAAACCGAAAGAATTCCTGGTGAATTATGCTACACGCATTCAGTCCAGGTAGCTGTAGGGGATTTTGGTACCCCTAAAACCATTTTCTTCTTGAACTATTGTCAGATTATTTTCGAACTTTGATTTTTCGAACCATTTCCGACCGTCTTGGACAAAAGGCTGCGTTTCTTTTCTATCGGGCGTGGTTACACTTCCTATGTACTAACGCATTTATCGTTCTTCACAGTCATCCAATACATATATATATATATATATATATATATATATATATATATATATATATATATATATATATATATATATATATATATATATATATATATATATATATATATATATATATATATATATATATATATATATATATATATATATATATATATATATATATATATATATATATATATATATATATATATATATATATATATATATATATATATATATATATATACCAGCTGAATCTCTCGTTTGTGATGTATCCAGGCAACGGGATGGACTGCACCAGGCCGCCTCATGCCTGGAAACATCACAAACGAGGGATTCAGCTGGGTACCAGGTGAGCCTCTCACAAAACCAAATTAGTTTGAGAGTGAGTGTATTTCGCTAAAATTTGGGTAGTTTACAAAGGTGCTGTTGTGCACAAAATGCACGAGGTTTCGACCACAAACGGAACAGGTGTTTGAGACTCACACTTCATGGGAAAATTTGTTTTCGCTTTTTAATATTCGGGTCAGGTCAACGTCATTGAAATTCCTCGTCCTCCCCTCCCAATGTTGTGAACTATATCGAGAGTTAAAACAACTAAGTTGATGGGAAGAGAATGAGAATAAAAGTGGAAACCTTCTGCATGATTTTC